TCACTTCCCGCAGCTCTGGCGGAGCTGGATAAGCGCATCCAGGAGCTGCAGAACCGCCCGGCCGAGGTGGGGGCCCCGTCAGTGGCAGCAAACAAGGCGGGCAGTGGCAAGACAGGAGCGGCGACGTCACAGGCGGCCAAGTCGGTGGCAGCCGCGGCTGCGGAGCTGGCGGCGGCGACTGGCGCCATTACCGCCCGCAACCGGCAGCTGGGCGACCAGGTCAAGGCGATGGAGGAGCAGCTGAAGCAGCTGCTGGCCAATGTGGCCAAGCTGCCAGAGCAGGTATGAACTAGGCAGCTGGAGGGGTCTGCGGTGGGCGTCGGCAATGCGTGAATGTTTGCTGACGCCTCTATTTCGGCACTTGCCGCCATTCCTAAGGACGCTGTTAGTGGAAGGTGCTTTTTCTGTTGTGGCAAGATCGATGTTTTACATAATGGCTGTGCGTGCTTCTCTTGGGGGAAACACGCTACCCAATCCTGCACCACCGATATGGATTGTGCACATCCAGCCGCCCATGTTTTGACTTAAGGTCTAGGTTCCCTCGTTTGTTTTCCTGTTCCCATGGTGTTAACTGTCCGGCCCGTCATACGAACTTCCTATGTTTCATACCGCAGGGCCCCGGCAAGGATGGCGCAGCAGGTGCAGTCGGCGCAGGAGGTGCAGTCGGCGCAGCAGGTGCGGTGGGTGCGACAGGAGCTACGGGTGAGAGAGGTGTAGCCGGTGCTGCTGGCGCCAACGGCGTGGCAGGCGCCAATAATGGTCCCATAGGCAGCGGCTCTCATATCGAGCAGCAGAAGGCCGCTGCGGCCAAGGATGCTCGTGACGCGCTTCTGGCGGCTATCCGCGGCGACATCAACGCCATCCAAGCGGCCCTGGGACAGATCCTAAAGAATGCAGCCCGCCCGGGCCGGGGCGGCCTGAGTGCGGGCGGCAGTGAAGATGTGGCCGCCCTCGCCGCCGCAGCAGCGGAGGACCGGGAGAAGCTGAAGCAGCTCCAGGATCTCGTGATGGCGCTACAGGACGATGCTGCAGCTGCCCGGGCAGCGGCAGAGGCCGCGGCGCAGCGAGCGGAACAGATGGAAGTTGAAGTTGCAGCCGCCGCTGCCGCAGCGTCGGCGGCGGCGGCCGCCGCTGCAGCGGCAGTCGCGTCCGCCCCACCGGCGGAGGCCGAAGAAGAAAGCGAAGCCGCGAATGCGGAGGGCTCGCTATCCTCACCAACGGGAGCGGCAACAGCAGATCCCAAGGTCGCGGCTAGACCTGGAGTTGGGAAGGCTGGACCGGGCGGTAAGAAGGCCGCTGGATATGATGGCAGCGGTGGTGGCAATGCCAGTAGCTCATCAGCCGCCGTAGGTGGCCCATCCGCCTCGGATGACTTGTCCCGCATGGCCGCGTCACTTCCCGCAGCCCTGGCAGAGCTGGATAGGCGCATCCAGGAGCTGCAGAACCGCCCAGCAGAGGCGGTAGGGACAATTGGGTCGGGAACAGCGGCAAGTGGAGGTTCCAGTGGTGCAAGCGCGAATGCAGGCAAGGCGGGTACCAAGGCAGGAGCGGCGCCATCGGCAGCGACGTCACAGGCGGCCAAGTCGGTGGCAGCCGCGGCTGCGGAGCTGGCGGCGGCGACTGGCGCCATTACCGCCCGCAACCGGCAGCTGGGCGACCAGGTCAAGGCGATGGAGGAGCAGCTGAAGCAGCTGCTGGCCAACGTAGCCAAGCTGCCAGAACAGGTACGTGATTGGAGGGCACTTTCCAAGGCACTTTACGGCATTATAAAGACGTGAGAAACAAGCCTGGCGACTGCTTTTCCTCGTAGCCAACAGGTACATATCTTGTTGTTCGTGACAATATTTCACGTTCCTTGTTTACGATTGTGATCGGTATGTGGATTGTCTTGATTTTTATGCTGACGCTCTTGTTGCTGGATGTACAGTTACCACTATTGTGGTATGGGCTGCTGTGCATGTGAATGCGTTCATCCATTGACACCGTTGCGCGATGTGGTGCTTTCGCAGGGCATGGACACGGGCACCGCTATACCAGCAACTGCGGCCGCCGCTGACGCAACCGGAAGATATGCTGGCAGCAACAGCGCAGGTGGGGGCACTGGCGGCATTGGCGGCAACACTGCCGGCGTTGGAGGACAGTCAGTCGGCGCCGCAGGAGCCACTGCCGGCACCGAGCAGCAGAAGAAGGCAGCGGCGGCCAAGAATGCTCGTGACGCGCTTCTGGCGGCTGTCCGCGGCGACATCAACGCTATACAAGCGGCGCTAGGACAGATCCTCAAGAATGCAGCCCGCCAGGGCCGGGGCGGCCTGGGTGCGGGCGGCAGTGAAGATATGGCTGCCCTCGCCGCAGCAGCAGCGGAGGACCGGGAGAAGCTGAAGCAGCTCCAGGATCTCGTGATGGCGCTCATGAAGGAGCAGAAGGGCGCAAAGGACGACGCCGCGGCTGCCCGGACGGCAGCGGAGGCGGCAGCGGATCGGGCCGAGCAGATGGAGGTCGAGGTGGCGGCGGCCACCGCTGCGGCATCAGCTGCAGCCGCCGCTGCCGCAGCTGCTGTCGCATCGGCGCCAACGATGGAGAGCGCAGATGGCGACTTTGCGGCGGAGCCGGCAGGCAGAGCGTCTTCGCCAACGGCGACGGCAGCTGGCGCGGCGCGGCGTGCCAAGGCTGCGGTGAGCGGCAACCCATCTGGCGGATCTGGATCCGTATACGGGGCGGCCAGCGTGGATAAGTCAGCAGCCGCCATGGATGGCCCATCCGCCTCGGATGACTTATCACGAATGGCCGCGTCACTTCCCGCAGCTCTGGCGGAGCTGGATAAGCGCATCCAGGAGCTGCAGAACCGCCCGGCCGAGGTGGGGGCCCCGTCAGTGGCAGCAAACAAGGCGGGCAGTGGCAAGACAGGAGCGGCGACGTCACAGGCGGCCAAGTCGGTGGCAGCCGCGGCTGCGGAGCTGGCGGCGGCGACTGGCGCCATTACCGCCCGCAACCGGCAGCTGGGCGACCAGGTCAAGGCGATGGAGGAGCAGCTGATGCAGCTGCTGGCCAACGTAGCCAAGCTGCCAGAACAGGTACGTGCGCCCAGCCCGTACAAGGTAGTGCTCAATGGATTTTATGTCGCCACCGAGGCGCAGCCTAGGAGACCCCACTTCCGGGTCATAGCATAGCCCGCCCCAGACGACACTTAGGCACCCGAGATTTGGTGACCTCCCAAGCGGCGTCGGGCGTGTATATGTTCTTGCTCTGATGGCTTTACACTGCTTCACCGTGGGTAGAAACCAGGCTTTGTCGTGAGCAGAGGTGCATGTCGTGAGCAGGGCGCAATTAATGCGCCGTGGAAAGAACGATTGATACGTTTATGCGTTTCGCGTTGCTGACAGTAGCCCTAATTCAGAAGTATGTGTGTCCAGCTTGGGGAGGAAGCCCCCTAAATCTTATGCCGGTCCACAGTCGCCGCTTGACTAAATTCGCCGGACTGTGGTTGTGGCCGGGGAACAGACCGGTCAACACCTCATTTGCCAATGTG